TGTGATAAACACTTTTAAAGTGTTTAGTCGCCTTCTTTTGTGGGCCTCCGTGCAATCTGAACAGATAAGAAAGGAAATATTATTACCTCACTTCATATACAGGGAACTGAGTCAGGAAGAGGGGGAGTTATCTGACAAGATGTGGTTATTTACGTCTGAGCTCCTTGACTAGATTCCCCTTGTAATTAATGGAAAGGAATGGGTACTTCCAGATTTACGTCACCTCCTTTAAAAGAAGGCTTCTAAAATAGGTCATCTTACTCTCATCCTGATATTGTCTGTCCAGTTCTGCAAACTCAAAATGGGAGCCACAGCTGAACAGACGCATTAACATTTGCTTCAGGTCAGGCCTGTACTGCCTTAACTCACTTGTCCGATATAATACCAGCCATGTGTTCAAGGTAATGTACAATGCTCAGAGCCTCAAAACCCAGAGGGTAGGAACTCAGATTCCTTGTTTTTCAGTATATTTTGCATAGGGCACTATTTTGTTCACATTTTGCATTATTTCACCATTTATTTCTGTCCTAATAATGTTAACCAAATTTTGTTTTAGCTGCTACTAGAGCTGTGTCATTAATGTCATCCATTAACTCAGAGAGAATTTCCATATTTGAAACTATGTTTTTGCACCAGTTTAAAACAACATTGCACAACCACCTGCAAGGCAAAGCCCTGAAATGGCAAGAATCATGAAAGTGCTGCCAATGTATATTGACTTTTCAGGTGGGAACTTGGGATTTCCAGAATACTCTAACTATGGGGCAGGCCCACAGACATCAGCTCTTAGGGAGAAAAAACCCAGGGATCATCATCTTTGTGGTCTGTTTGAGGGTAAAAATCCCAAGAAATCCTCTGGCCTCCACACAGCTGAGCAGCTCCAACTTTACACATCAGCACTCCTTTGCCATCAGGCCATCTGCCAGGCAGATGAGCTGGCAGGAGATCAGACAGGTACAATGAAAATCTGTTTTTTCCAACTACACCTTTCTCAGAATAGAACTACCACCACATGGCATCTTTTCTTGGACTGAAATGCTCCAGTGAAATAAATACAGCTCATCTGGACAGCACTGCAGATGAATACCAACCAGCTGAAGCTGAGATAGGCATGTTTTCTGTCACCATTGGGCTGTGCAGTTGTTCCAGTACTCATCTTGAAGCAAGGGCTTGGGGGGGAACTTCTAGGAAAAAAATTTGTTTTGACCACTCACTACCTTGTGTGGAAAAAAAAAAAATAAGGAAGGTGAAAGGTAACATTAGGGATGCAAGAACCTTTTTTGTTTTTCTCTTGATCACATAGGGATGGTAATTCTTCACACCACGAAAGTACTTGTATTTCAGTAGTACTTGGATTTGCATGTATAGCCTTCCAGTCTATCTTGTATAGAACAGACTTCTTTTCACTAAATGTAGTCTGAGTAGCACTACCTCCCATATGATTAGATTTCCCCTGCGCTGCAGCTGAGGACAAGATCCAGCAATCACATTCAACAGCGTCTCCCTGTAAGAGTTCTGCTCAAGGGAAGAAGGCTTCAAATTCCCTTTCAGGCAACAATTCCAGAACTCAAACCTGGCAATTACTGGCTATTTTATGATGTTTTTGGACAAGAACCTGTTTTCCAGTATGTTCTCTTATCTATTTTTTAATTTTTTTTAATGAGAATAAGCATAGCTAATTGTTAAAAATATTTATTTGGGAAGACTGAAGACACATTTTTAATGACCTTTTAAGTAGCCCCCCTTGAGAGGTTTACATTGACCATTCAAGTACAATATTTAATATTGTACTAACTGTCCTTGTATTCAGAGAAATACTTTAATGAAGTAAAATAGGCAATGACTTGTAAACTACTTGTTGAAACAGGAGCAGAGTTTTAGAGATCAGTAGAAGAAATAGGGAACCATTCATACAAACGGTCCTACTGTGCAGGAATTTGGGGCCTGTCCTGTAATTCCTTACTTCCCCAGCTGCCTGTGGTTCAGTAAATCCATGGAATATACGATCAGAGTTCCCTAAGGCATAGCACCACTCTATTCCCAGTTTATTCTTTGAAAATTAATTCTCTCTTCTCCTGGTTGTATTGTTTCTGATTGATTTTCTTACTTTTTAACTGAGGAACATATATGCGAATATTTATTTAAAATCTGTTTTCTGAATATATTTCCTGAAAATATATGCATTCTTCATTATATCTATAATTAAAAAAGAGTTGGCTAACCACAGAAGATAGTGACTAATTGAGATATATTGATTTACCAGCATCAAAAAAATTGTGCAGTGAACTTTTCTAATGAACTCTTATATGACAAAGAGAATCAAAGCAACATGGTTAGTTTGTGGATTATGTTGTCTTGGAGAAACAGGAAAAGTGATTAACTTATTCATCCATATTTTGACTTCTTAATTTTTTCCTTTTTTAAAATATGTCTAAATTACCACTACAAAAGTTTACACTGATACATAACAAAAGTATTGATTGTGAAAAGCCCAGTCTTCTAGAACAAGAAAGGAAGTAACACAGCACAAAGAAATGTGATTCAGGCATCGCATTAACTGATAACACTAGAAGCTAACAGAGGGAGTAAAGGGAACATGCTTTCCCTTTCTTTCAGAGAAAGCATATTTCATAACAAACTGGGGGGTGGGTTTTATTCTATAAAAGTGGCTATATGTTTCAGCGGTATATGAATGCATTATGTGAAGAGCGCATCTACGTAGATTGTTTTCTTGGTTCATTAGAATGTACTTGATTGTTACTGACTTAGATACTCCAGGCATTCTCTTTACACCTTCTGTAAACCCAAAGGTCAAACTCTTCCTGTGGAAGAACTTCCTTCTATAGCAGGATCAGGTTGTACCTACACCTGACCTCACCAAAGTTGCATTAACTGAATTTGCCTGACATAAAGCAGCACCCTGAACATTCAAAACCATAGCCTGAAAATCTCCTGGTTTTGTACAAACCTTAGATTTTGACAGATGATTTAAGATTAAATCTCTTCCACTCTAGTTTTCATAAAATCCTGGAATGATGGAGGTGGGAAGGAACCTCAGAATCTGTCTGGCCCAACCTCTTCTCAAGAAGGTACACCCAGAGAAGGATGCCCACGACCCTGACCAAGTAGCTTTTGAATATCACCAAGGAGGGAGGGAGACCCAACCATAAATTCATACCTTAATTCACACTTCATAGAAAATCCAAGTTGCCAAGTTACAGGAAGGAAAACTGACTTCTCTTTTGAAATGAGCAGAAAAATATAAAGAACAATAAGTCAGAACAAGAGCAAGTGAAAAGTGATGTGATGTGATGTGGCAACCTCATGAATGAAGATGTACAGATATGAGCAACATGGGTGCAGATTCTTATTTCCCAGATAACAAGGCAGATATATTCACCAAGTGAAATATAAAAACTAAATGACTGAAAAGCTACATTAAATGTCTGAATTAGAATATATTATTTAAAAAAAAATAACCACAAGTGGTAATCCAAAAATGACTGTAACCACACAACACCTGTAATTGAAATAGAGCACTATGCAGGCAAAACATTAGGCTGTTTTCTAAGCATAGGTTGCATGGATCAAGTAAGCATCAGTTGTAAAGCTTTTGCATTAACTTACTGAAGATCCTATAGTAGTTGGTAAAGGAGAAGATCATCCCACTAAAGCCAGCTCAGATAAACTTTCCTTGAGGAATCGCTTGCTATTCCCATCACCCTTGTCTTATTAAAGATCCAAAATAGTAGTACACCTATGCTGATGGCAGTACAGATTTGACATCAGAGGGCATCAAGATTTGCCATTCTTTTATGAAAAATTATTTTTTATCTTATGTTTAGAAAAACTCAGGCAATTCAGAACACATCATTTGTTAGCCCTTTTGTCTCTAGGTGGTGGAAGACTACAGCTCTATGGTGTCTCAGAGCTCCCACCCAAAGCTGAGAGATCAGCTCAATATTAGCAGAGATAGCAGTAATCTGAAACAAGGTGCAGTCATCTCTCGAGATACCAGTTCCAGCTGGAGCTCCAGCTTCCTATTCACTTGGAAAATGTGTTAGAAGATTGAGGAACTTACCACCAAGTAGACTAGGATGAAGGAGCTCCATCATGCAGATAAGGAAGCAAGAGAGGACTGGCTCTCTTGAAAACACACAGATGGGGAAAATATCACCAGGGTCATCACTGCAAATTCAGGTGCATGGTTTGGGAAGACGGCATTTTGACCTTCACAGTAAAAGTGGTGCTTTTATCTCCTGGACGTAGACTATCTTAAATTGTCTCTGAAATAAAATGAAAAAGTGAAAAACCTCTCTGAAAAAATTCACTGCTTTCTCAAGGAGCGTAAAAGCAGCTAGCTTACAAGCAGGACATACATTCTTTCTTAGTGAAGGTACTGTGAAAAATTCGGGGTCACACTTGTAAATAGCATGGATTTATTCCCCAATAGGTAGGAAAATGGAGAAACATAGTAATAATTGATTATTAAGACTTCAATTCTCATGACGAAACTCTAAGTATAGAATCATTAGCAGCTCTGTGGGACTAAGGAGCAAACTGAATGAAAGGAGACAAAGACTTATTTCTCTAGAAAATGTTATAACCTTGGCTATTGGCAAGGAAATAGTTTTGCATAGTTTATATACATTCATTGCTCTATAAATATCTGCTACTTCAGTCACTGTATTTTAGGGTAACTCTAAATGAAAGTTCCTGTGTTAAACCAAACGCTAGACTGCGTTTTGTTTTTAATGAGGGTTCTTCCACAAAATGTTCCATTGTGGCTAATGAGATATTAACAGTGAATGCACTAGGACAGATGGGAAGACAGTCAGCTGTCTAAATCAGAAGATTTTCAAAGTGCAGTAAACAAATTATTAAGCACAATTCACTGGCTCAGTGCCATTAAATACCGTAGAGAATTGGTCAGAGAATGCATCATGAAAAGCTTTTCAGGAGCAGCTAAATTCTACAGCTGTGATCTTTTGCTTTTCTAGTACTTTGCAAGAACAGAAGGGGGAATTACGAAAACGTCTATCATACACTACCCATAAACTGGAAATGCTTGAAACGGAATTTGATTCTACACGTCAGTATCTTGAAATAGAATTGAGACGTGCTCAGGAGGAACTTGAGAAAGTAACTGAAAAACTGAGAAGGTTAGTAACTAACTTTTTCAATTGAGCAGATTTGAGGAATTTACAAAAGGCTGTATTAAAGACATATGTAAGTAAAAATATAAATACATATCTCAAATATTTATTATTTATTGATTAAACATTCTATGTTCATGCTGAATATACGTATTTCACATATATGAATATGTATTACATACTGCATATGAAACTGTGTTTATCATACATGACATATTTTGTATTGAAAGTAAACACGCAAATAGAAACATGTATATAGGTAGGTATATGATATTGTTTATGTGTAATCATGTGTTGGTTAGTACTTAGTTAAATTACACATATGAAAGTATCATAAATACATACACATCTCATATATATATATATATATATATATAAAACATTTTAATTCTATTTTTAATTCTCCTTCATATGATTCTATGATTAATCAATTTGTCTGCAAATTTTCAGTTGTTACTCTCCACTGTACTGATACAAGAAAAGAGTATTTGTCTCAAAGCTGAAACTAAGATCAACATAAACAACATTATGACATTTTATGTCACGATACATTACATCATTCAGTTTCCAGTCCCAGATAGAATGACTGATACCAAAAACCTATTACTTAAAATTACTGAAGCTGTGGTACAGTGCTATTGCAAATCAAGGGCCCAGTTAATGTTAATGAGAAATTATCATAAGCATGCACTCCTGACATTTTTGATAATGATTAAAATGGTCTGTAATCTGGCACTAAACTTAGCAGTGATTCTCAGTATTAATTTTTTTCATTTGTTTACAACAATTTGAAACCTACTATTACCCATTTATGTAGGAATGTATCTGCATTTTTTGTGAAGACTTTGTTGAAAAGTATACAGATAATTGAACTATTTGATTTAATTCACCGAATGAGTAAAAAGAAAATTCAGAACAAACCGTTCCAGGTCTACACCCAAAGAAATCATTCTTTGCAGAAGGCAAAAACTGAAGTACAACAAAGCCAGAAAAACAAAATAAAATAAATTTTTTAAAAAAAGAAAACCTGAGTCAACCAAATAATTCTACGTAAATTGAAAAAATAATTAGGCTGTAAGATCTTAAATTAAGAAACATCTAGTGTGTTCTTAAAACTTAGGTTCTTTCCTATCTCTGGGGCTTCTTAAAACAAGACTAAAATGAGCAGGTGGATTATAGGCGTCATGACTGCGAAATCTATACTTATCTATCAAGAGCTCTGCAGAGGCTTTCCATATTGTTTTTCTGCCATTGGTATTTTTTTTTCCATCGTTTCATTTAGATAATGTATACTGAAAATAACATTACACTTGATGTAGTTTTGTTCTACTATATTACAGCTCTAAGGGCAGGGAACATTGGCAACCTTTTTTCCCAAAACATTGCTGTCATAACACGGCTGTCATAATTCTTGAATGATCCTTATCTGAAGGACTGGCCATCCCACTTTTGTTAAAAGAAAGGGACAATATACAGTTTTCCTTAAGTAAAAAAATAACCTATGTCAACATCACCAGACACTGACAGTTTAAGTACTCTTCAAAAATCAGGCCAGTCATTCTTCATTTTGCTCATGGCAAAGTCTAGCAATAGTACCTAAACACCAGATTAGTAGAACTGACTTTCCTGTACTCTGAGCACTCTACTATATTATGAAGAAAATATATATTGAAAAATTATGTTTCAGGCAGGTAGAGACATTGGAGACCCAAAATATTTTACAAGCTTTAAAGATGTTACTACTGAGAATAGCGAGGCGTACCACAAGTTAAACAAATAGATTTCCCAGCCTGGAAAAGGAAACTGTTGGAAATCCAAAAGCATGTCAGCAGTATGTCACCAGTATCAGAAAACCAGCATGAGAAATACAAGGAATCAGAATTAGTTTCAACAATATGTTTCTTTCTTTATTCACAACACGGGGAGAAAAATTCAGCCCCTACTAACAAATAAGCCGTGTGTACGATGATCCCACTTGCATACTAGAGATCACTTCTGTTATTAAAATTCCATTAGCGTTGCGCACAGAATTTTTTCTGAGAATCTGAACAGCCATCTTTTTCTGCTCCTTTTGAAAGCTTTTGATCTCTTAATTTGTCCAGAATTAACTGTTTAACCTAAGCAAGAAAGTAATCTATGTGACACTGCAGTCAAGGCTTTTGACCTCCATTTTTCTTTTTTGACCCACTGGGAGCAATGCTGAGAGTGTTTCAAAATATTAACCGTAAAGTAGGGCTTCGAAAAGTGACTGAAAAGATGTTGGGAATTTCACATTCCTCACAGTGATCCCCCTATCTAGAGTGAACAGCATGGCTTTTTAAAGATTACATTTTCATAATATTCAAATATTAATATGGAAACTCAAAAGTTTCTCCTAAGGTCACACTGGTTTTCCTGCTTGAGACTGCACCCTGGGAACCAGCTGCTCAAGGTCTTCCTGGCATTTTTCAGAGAGCAGAGATATCTTAAGACACAAGGAATAAATCCATACAAGCGTATTTTTAGTGCTAAGATTAGCCCCCGCACTTAATTGTTTCACCAAAAGCTAGACACATCATGGGCTAAAGGGGTTTTCAGATCAGAAACTTGGTAGCTGTGTTAGCTTTAGAATAAACAGAGGAAAAGTATTTTGTTTCTGTAAGAAAACCAGCGTAACTCGTGTTAGCAGAAAAAGATTTTTGAACAAGGTTACTATTTTAAGTCACCTTTCAAAGCTAAGCTGAACTCAGGGTGAAATTCTCTTCTTTGCAGAAGGCTAACCCAAGCCTGTGTTTTACATCAGATATTTCAGAGCCATGTGAGGGCTTTGAAATAGAGATTTTGCAGGCTTTCTCTTTGCAGTCTTTGAGAAAAATGTATTGTCTGCTTGATTAGAGTTCTGATACATGGCATTCAGTGTGGTCAGAATACTTTTCATAAGAATCCAATTTACTGAGGAATCTAAACATGCATTTATTGCATACACATGTATGTATGTGGGTATCATATAACCCTATTAATTTAACAACAAAAAGCCATCAAAAGCCATCAAAATGATAATATTTTTTTATCAATTCACATGGAAAAATTTTCTCCTTAAACTGGTTTCAGAGATTAATGAAGATGACCTGCTCTTTGATTCATTTATTTAGAGAATCCAAATTTATGACAAAAATATTTCATGCTGCACAAGACTCAGACTATGTGTATATTTTTTTTCTACACAGAGTTACCATTTACTCCTCTGATCATTTTGAGTTTGAATAATTTTTCTTTCTTTTTTATTTCACAGTAATTGCCGTGTTTGTCTTGTATCCCTTTAACACTTTCTTTTATTTGTTGCTAAGTCTGTTTCTCCCCATTCCATCCACATTTTCTGCCACTTCTTTTGGAGCAGTGGATTTAAATTTGGGTTTTATTTGGATACGTGCTTATATTTGTGTGCACATTTATGCTTATTTTTACTACCTTTGCATACCATTCTCAACAGAAATGCTCTTTGAAGCTCAGCTTGCTATGTACTGTTTATTTTTTGTTTAGATTTATTGTTTGCATTTTATTTGCTGGAGGTGGTTTCAATGCAAAAACTGGGTCTGTGGAATATTTTCTGATAAACATATAACACAGGAAAATGTGATAAAGACTTGATACAAGCCGAGAAGCATATTGTTACTGCAAAAACCAACTACTGTCTACTGCATGGAAACACTGCCATTTGAAAGCCATTATATTAGCGATAACTGATCTTCCAGTGATCTGTAGTGAGAGAAAAATATTGTCTGTAGAATCTTAGGACTAAAACCACTGGTGCATTGCCATTGTAATAAGATGGATATATAGGTTATCTGGCTGCAATTGCTGTTAGTTTTGTTCATGTTTTTAAATACAGGGGAAAGAAATCTTCAAACCTTGTAAGATGCACTCCATGTAGCTCTGTACTGCAGAAAAGACTCGGGTACAGAGAAATCGAGCTAGAAAAGCACTGAAACAATATTTTGTTTTGCACTATTCCTTCCTTCATAAATTTATGCAGATACTTTTGAACCCATTCCTGAATTCTAATAAAAATAAACACCCACATTTTCAGTGTGAGATATCTAGATTTATTTGCTGAAGAAAGAGAACGTGTTGCTGAGGTTCAAGGATGTGCAATTCCTTTGAACTTCTGTCAAAAGGGGAATATTCCCTTCTAAGTCATTTTTTCTACTGCAGTCATTGGGCTTCTGCTGCAATTCTCCACATTAGGAGAGTCTGCTAAATCTCTTCCTGTAGTGTCTAAGCAGAAAGCTCAAGCCTCCTCCCTGACATATAATTTGTGAGCCTGATGCACAGCTACAATCCCTTTGTGCAAGTTCTCATGCTGTGAAGCATGTCTGCACGTAAGCGCAGAACAGCAAACACATTTTTACTTCCTGACAGAATTTGCTGCTAAATATAGTAAACAAATATGACATAGAAGTTTGCTTAGGAAGTAGGTGATAATTGCATTTCAAAGGAAACCACTGACTGGCAACAGAAGTGGTAAGCAAATAGATTTCAAGTAGTGCAAGCCAAGGTTTTGTACTGATGTGAAAATTTCAGGTAAAAATAACACACACAAAAAAATACATTCAATTACATGATATCATCTTTGTTTTAGGATACAAAATAATTACCTAGCCTTACAAAGAATTAATCAGGATCTGGAAGATAAACTTTACAGAATGGTAAGTTATAAGTGATTTTTTTTTTTTTTTTTAATATTAAATGTGCTTTTATGGTTCTTAAATCCTATGACAAACATATTTGCTCCAAGTGCAGTATGCTTGAAAAAGATCTATGGGTTTATCATTTTCATGATCTAAAGCCCAAGCTGTGTAAAATGGTGTATCTCCATTAATTTAAACAGAGATTGCATTGGCTGATGATCTGATTGAGTAAATTGTAACTTTAAGATAATTCTCACTAATTTAGTTAATAACTTCATGGGTTTTAAATATTTACATTTTCATTAATTAACCAATTTAAATAGAGTAACCTAAGGTTTTTTCAAGCTTTTTAGATATTTTCACTTAACTTTTATTAGTTAATTTCTTGAATAGCCTGATTTTTGTACGCTGCCTAAACTATAAATATCAGCATATAAATTCATAATTTGCATGCATCTGCAATCACAATGTCAAAGTCAGTGTCACAGGTCAATTACTGAGTAAGGAAATCACTGCACCACTTACGGTCTCCATCTAGGACAAAAATTACAGCACCACTCATTCAAAAAGGTTTGAAAATGTTTAAAAGAAATGGCAACGTCCTGAGCATGCTGGCTCATTGCTAATGCCACTCGGTCGTCATCCTTGCTGCTAGGAGAAAAGTCAGAGAGAAATCTAAGGTAACGTTTCAAGAGAAAAAAATAGAAAAAGAAAAACCACATAACTGTTTTGATCTTCAAGAGATCTTCAGGCCAAGATCTTGTGCACAGCCTGCCCTTCCTTCTCTCCCAGATCAGTGTGATTGATCATTCCTTGCTCTCTTCCCTGCCTGGCCCTACACCTAGCAAGTCCCAAGCAAGCACAGCGTACACAGCAGACAGATGTCCAGGCAGAGGCCTGACATATCGCTATAAGGAAGCCAGGATAAGCCAATATCTTGCAAGGTCTCATAGATAACATTTCTATGAATGGATTGGTTAGAGTGAAGGGAAGGATTTATTTTTCTTTGAAAATAAGTAGGGACTTTGGCAGCATACTCGAGTGACATCATTCTTTACAAGGAAATCAGAGACAAATTTCTGAAAATGACTTTGTTCTTATCTCCATTAAAATAGATGACAATGAATGAAGTATTGATGCATTTTTAACTGGCTGGAAACAGGGCAAAGTTACAGCTGAGTTAGAGCTGATATTTGTTTATACACAATCATAAAATGCATTTGATCTCATGGTGGCTTTTTCTCCATTTTTCCTTTATTACATTCTTTTTCCTTTTATCTAAATCACTTCAGGATTTTATCTTCATCTTTAGCCTAATATTTATTACATGCTACAAAACAGAAATAACTTTCAGGCATTCTGAATGGTAAAAGATATTCAAAAAATATATATAAAAGGAAGGACTCCAGAAAACCCTTGCTTTTTCAGCAAGTATTTCAGATCAAAGCAAAGAATTTTTAAACTGATGCATCCTCTTAAAACATGAAGCAAAGATTTCAGAGCATATCTCAGAAAGAAGGAAGATTCCATCCATGGTGCACTGTACCTCTTTTTATCCCACTAATTTGACAGTCATTGAAGGAAGCTTCAGAGACTCGAAGAAGATCAACCAGGCTTTGCACACCACTTAAATCCAGACTGATTTGCCTTCTGAAACACTGAAACTGGAGACATGAATCAAAACCAACCAAACAAACAAAAAAAAAAAACTGATAGAAATTCTATCAAAAAAAAAAAAAAAAAAAAAGGAAAATAGTGACATATTGGGGAAAAAAAAAAAAAAAGTACCAAATCATCTGATTTTCAGAACATCTCAAAACACTTAATACTTCAAAGAAAGCTGAATTAAATAACAGCTGGTCTGCTTAGTCAACAGGTCATGGTGGGCTGTGCTCTTGGACACCTTTCCCTCCCTTTCCTCTTTAGGAGGAACAGCTGTGTTTATTTTTTGGTTTAATTTATTCAGGTTGCCATTATAAAATCAAAAGCCTTTGATTTCTCTACCTTTATCCAAATATATAAGCTGTGTTTACCTTCTCCCTCTCTCCTTCCATTTTTTTCTATTCTGACATATATGTGCATATATGCACACATACATACACAAATTTGTACACAAATTCTGACCCTTTAATGTATCCAAAAAAGTATTAAGGGGAGAAATTTTGTGTTCTCCCTTCGTGTGGTGATCTGGGCTGCCTCCAGAAGAACCTTTCTCCCTGCCTTTACAAGCTACCCATATCTCTTCTTTTTCCACTAAGATGTCCCAGCTCATCATGACTATTCTGGGACTTCAGTCTGGCCTCCTTCTTCTGTTGATGTTTGAGTATCCTGAATGTTAAAGTCTTCTGAAAGGATGTAAAAAACAATCATTAATTCATTAGCAGGCACAGGAAAGAAGCTGAAGTAGCAGTTATTTTTCTCCTAGGCTCTGCTTCCTTTTGAGTGCTAGGCTATAAAATATTTAAAACTGTTTGAAAGTCCTGATCACAAAAAATGACATCCAATTGAATCCTCTGTTACATCAGAACTCCAAATGAAAATATAAACCAGAGTGTCTGTGATGGCTAAGGGCTGAAACCTGAAATCAGTGGAGAGTTTTGTATATTAAAGTGGTCAAATTTAAGTACATGACACTGTCGCAGCAGATGCAGCACAGAGCTCAGATCCTGCTGTTATTACTTAAATAAATTTCTGTTCCTTCCATTACCGTGGTCTTCAAATGAAGATTTGTTTGCTCCTTTAAGCACCGGTGAATCAAGGGAATATGCAAACTGTCTTCTTAAATAATTAAGCCTTATAACTATTTTTTTTCCATTAAGCTGTAGGAAAGTACTAAGCAAAGTCATTAAATTTTTTACTATGAGTCTATCTTGGGGCTGTTGAATCAAAGAATGTATTTTCATATCTAATTCCTGTTACCAGCATACTTCACTTGCACTGACTGGTCTGAGTTTCCTGCAGATTCTTGGCCACAGTCCTGCTAGTCACACAAACTGCAGATGCAAGTTGATTATAAAAGCCTTCTCAACCATGTGCTAATATAACCTTTTCATCAACTTAATTCAATGATATTTTGCATATGATCCTCACTTACTTTAAAAAGTTTCTGAAGCTTTAAGGCTTTCTGTTGCGGCTAGTTCTGCATTTTCCTTTAAAGACATAAAACAGATTATTAATAGTATCTACATTTGGGAAGAATTGACAGATACCCAGTAATAGTTCTTAATAAATCTAAATTATGATGAAAATTGTACCCATTTCACTCCTGCATTTTGAATGTACCATAAAATCTGATTTCATACCTTATTCCCCAGAAGGAGTCTCAATTATCTATTCTGTAAGTAGAAAGTAAGCTTGGCATCATCTGTGATATAAGCAGCTTCTCATGCTGTCTCGCTCCAATTTATAGGAGGGAGAGGAGGTTCTTTTAATATCTTCATACCTGGCGTGAGATTAAGAAACAACGGTTCAAATGTTGGTCCGACCAGTTTGTTACAAATCCTGATCAGGGAGACAGGGAAGGGAAGGACAACTACTACTACAGATTAGGGTGACCAGGAAGGGAAGGAGGGCAATAGAAAAGATAGGAAATAAGCAAGAATCACATAAAGTGGGGATAGTCACCACCGTGATCCAGCAGCGGTCCTGCTGCATGACGTTTCGAAGGTCCGAAGCAAAAGCAGCAGAAGGAGAGCAGCAGCAGCATGGCCAGCCTTGGGCAGCAAGCAGGTAGCAGGAAGAAGTTTCACAGAGCCAATCCAGGAGGAAGCAGCAGGACTCAGGTAGCAAACACAGGAGAGTTTGTCAACATGCAGGAATTCCGTAGTGAGGAATCTGATGGCAGACACCTTTGTTCTTCAGCATCCAGGTAGAGCGCAGAGCAAGTTCAGGAGGGAGAGAGGCAGGTTGTGAGGCTTCTCATGTCAGAAACCTCTTCTTCTTCATGAGGAACCTGTTACCAGAAAACCTAACTTCATGGTTGTAGGTCCCTTTTTTATCCCTCTGCCTTCATGGCATTCCTGGGTGCTTAGCTAAGAGTCATGTGCAGCACCTCCTGAGATGGCCATCTTCCTCAAGATAAACCCACACAAAAGACTGCTTCCTGGCCATTAATCTGCAGCTTCTCTCTCTCTCGCCCCTGGCCTTGTCCATCTGTGTCCCTCAGACAAAGGATTTCACAACCCTTGCCCAGGACTTGTCCATTAGTGTTCTCCAGACAAAGGATTTCTCAACCCTTGCCCAGGACTTGCTTGGACTTGTTCCTTTGTGTCCCCAGCAAGCTTTAAGGCAATGATGAAAAAGAATAATCTCTTACACATGTAAAGTCCTTTAAGAAGGCAGAATTTAAGCTCCTGTATCATCTCAAAATCATGCCATTTGTATCTCATACAGATAAACACAGATAGCATTAGAGATGAATAGCAAGGGTGGCAGTCCTGTGGGAAGGGGCAAAGCCCTCTGGTGACCTGGGATCTAGCTGATAAATCAGCGTATGTGCTCTGTAAACCACCACATCCAGTACTCCTTGGTCTGCCAGTCCATCTGTCAGAAGACTGCCACCAAACCAAAACCTTAACATTTTGCTTCAAAGAATATCAGCAGGTTCTCCCCCAGTCTGTTGGATTAGGTTGATGTTTTTAAGGAAAGAAAAACATTGGTTATTTCCCTCTCAGTGCTGGTTCAGGACCTCTCAGCACTGTAGGCAATACTCAGTGCTGTCAGACATCAGGAACGTGATCAGACTCCTATGTTTAGCTGCGTAGGAACTGCTGGACTCCATCTCCACCACCGTCAGCCACCAGGACATCAGTCCCTCCCCATGCAAAGCAATATTCTCCCTCCGTACACAGTGATTATGTATTTTATCATATCTGTCAAGATGAAAGCTGTTGCAACACATTAATGCCTGATTTTTAATTTACATTAAGGCAAGCTGGGAGGTGTGAATCAGCCATAGAGTTGGAAGAAATTATTATATAAACTATCAGTACAGGGGGATTTGTGTTAGGACTATCAGG